GTAAGCACTGGAGGTGGGTGGAGCCTCTGGCAGGAGGGGGAGGAGCCGAGTGGATGATTGACAGGAAATATTCATCAGTCAGTGTATAAAACACTCCAGAAAACCATGTTGAATCATTTCCAAATAAACGATCCGTCGTTGAAGGAATAAAATGGCGAAATTCGAGAAACTACGAAGAAGAAAAAGACAGACACTGATTTACAATGAAAAGAATTTGGCGCCTCTTAAAGGGCCACGCAGAAGTCCCTGGGGGTGGAGTCGGTGGGCGGGGCTTTGTGGATGTGGGTTTTTCTGTGGGAATGGGAGGGGCCTCACAGAGGGCCGTGTCGCGCCTCGTATTTGGCCAGAACGTTCTTGCAGCGGCCCAGTTCCTTGCGCAGGTCGGCCACCTCCGCTCGCAGCGCCGCGTTCTCCTTCTCCAGGAATCCGGCACGGATGGCGATCTGGTTTTCTTTCAGCCGCCGGGCGTCCCGCGAACGCTTGGCCGCGATGTTGTTCTTTCTGCGTCGTGCCCAGTATCTGTCATCCTGAGAGAGAGAGAGAGAGAGAGAGGGAACAGAGTCAGAAAAATCATTCATTCTTGCTATTCGGTTTAGAATTCATTCATTTATTTTCAGCTTAGTCCAGGGGTCACCAAATTTGATCCTGGAGGGCGGGGGTCCTGCATGAATGAATTCTAAACCGAATAGCAAGAATGAATGATTTTTCTGACTCTGTTCCCTCTCTCTCTCTCTCTCTCTCTCAGGATGACAGATACTGGGCACGACGCAGAAAGAACAACATCGCGGCCAAGCGTTCGCGGGACGCCCGGCGGCTGAAAGAAAACCAGATCGCCATCCGTGCCGGATTCCTGGAGAAGGAGAACGCGGCGCTGCGAGCGGAGGTGGCCGACCTGCGCAAGGAACTGGGCCGCTGCAAGAACGTTCTGGCCAAATACGAGGCGCGACACGGCCCTCTGTGAGGCCCCTCCCATTCCCACAGAAAAACCCACATCCACAAAGCCCCGCCCACCGACTCCACCCCCAGGGACTTCTGCGTGGCCCTTTAAGAGGCGCCAAATTCTTTTCATTGTAAATCAGTGTCTGTCTTTTTCTTCTTCGTAGTTTCTCGAATTTCGCCATTTTATTCCTTCAACGACGGATCGTTTATTTGGAAATGATTCAACATGGTTTTCTGGAGTGTTTTATACACTGACTGATGAATATTTCCTGTCAATCATCCACTCGGCTCCTCCCCCTCCTGCCAGAGGCTCCACCCACCTCCAGTTGCTTACGCTTTCTTTCTTTGTTTGTTTGTTTGTTGTGTATGTTAATATGTTTCAGTTGAATAGCTGTAAAGCACCGACACCTTTCGTTCTGTACACAAATGTTCGTCGTCCGAATATGTTTTTGACTTCATCATTACTTGTGAACCAACACCAGCGTAAACATTTTTTGACGTCTTTCCTTTGGTTGTCCACGGAGCAATAATCTCTTCAGAGGGCGAAACACATGAAATGTAAGCTAAGATTCGTCTGTTTTCATTGCCGCCATTTCCTGCTGTCGTGTGGAAACTTTTCCCTCCAAAACTCATCGGATCCTCTGTCGCTCGAACTCCCTGCACTAATGCGTGTTTCACAATCTGATCTGGTGCAATGTTTCTACCTACACTATAATCTGCCTGATATATATAAATATATTTATGGACTCTTTTTGTTTGTTTTTCTTTGAACGGAAGAATCTTTTGTTTGTTTTTCAGAAATCTTCAGCTGTTAATTACTACTATTGTTATAGCTGTTCTTATTGTTATGGCTGTATAGTCATTTCTTTCTCCTGATCGTTCCTGATTTGTTTATTGGATATTTCAGCATGACTCTTTGTTTTTTTTTCCAAGTTGCGACCTCAATTAATTGTATTTTTTTTTTTAGGAACGGATGATTATTATATCCTCTTCTCATTTTTATAGTTTTTTTTTATTTTAATCCAGAGCATGTTTTAGAAATTTCGTTCATTTTCAAGTCAGTACAAAAAGATATTTGTAGTGATTTTTTTCCTCTTTTGTTTTGTAGCTTGGCGTGCGTGTTGGCTGTATGACTGTAATGAATGTGTTTTAAGAGGTTCGTTGAGTAGGACAGTGTTGTCTCGAATACTGTGGTTGAACCCCAATCAGTTTGTTTACTGCAGACCAAAAGATACAGCACAGATATATTGATAAAACAGAGTTTTAATGTTTATATCTCTATCTATATATAAATGAAAACTATAAGTTGATATTTTGTACAGTATTTTTCCTATATAATAGTCCATACGGTAAAAAACATAGATATGTATATATTTTGAATTTTTATATTTTATATTTATATATATGAGCAATATCACACAAGTAGTTCAATATGGCTGTATATCGGCACTGGTAGAAGGCGAGCAATGGCTCAAGGCCACAGGCCGAGCGCCATAGTGTTCCACCAGTGCCGATATACAGCCACATCCCACTGCTACTCGTGTAATATTGCGTTTATACAACAGTTTGACGGCACAATCATGTATATAAAAAAAGAAACTCAAACAAACAACAAAAAAAAAATTGTATGAGGAACTACTTTCTTGCACCATTCATTCACATCTGCAGCTGACAACAAAACAGC